TTAGACATACCCAATTCCAGCAACCATTCCTTGTATGTTTGAGCCTCCAATCCCCTAATCATCTTTGTTGCTCTTCTCTGAACTCTTTCTAGAGTCACAACATCTTTTTTACATCGTGGTGACCAAAACATGATGATGTTCACTGCAGGGAGGAACTACTATAACTTAACAGCCACTATAGTTTTTGCCTGGTTGGCTGATTTGTTTGAAATCTTTCTCTCTTAGCTTTCTGTTTCATTTTAGAGACACTCGTATAATACACCCTTTCTTACAGCAGCCCTGTGAGGTGGGCCAGAATCGGTTGGTGGCTTTCCGTGGCTTGTTTGACAGTTCTGTGCTGACTTCCAAAGAACAATAACCTGCTAGCATTTCTGGCAGGGTCCACACAACATGCCAGAATAAGGTGTTAAAGTGGCTGAGTTGCTTGTGGTTGAACAGGTTGAACAATCCTTGTCTTCATGAACGAGACCATCGTGTGATGTGGTTTCATATGAATATACTGCAGTTTGTTAACTCAGGTTTGAAGTTTAGCCTGTTGCGCAAACTCTACTGAGAGTCCTCGGCTTACGACCACAATTGAGACATTTAAGTGAGACATTTGTTAAGTGAGTTTTGCCTCATTTTATGACCTTCCTTGGCAGAGTTGTTAAGTGAATCACGGCCATTGTTAAGTTAGTAACCCGGTTGTTAAGTGAATCCGGCTGTCCGATTGACTTTGCTTGCCAAAAGGTCGCCAAAGGGGATTGCTTGACCATTGGACACAACAGCCGTCATAAATACGAGTCAGTTGCCGAGCGTCCGAATTTTGACCACGTGACCAGGGGGAGGCTGCAACGGTCGTAAGTGTGAAAAATGGTCATACGTTGCTTTTTTCAGTGCTGAACTGTCACTAAATGAACTGTTGTAAGTCAGGGACTACCTGTATTATGATTTTTTAAAAAAAATAATGCAAGATAGTTCACAAACCTCAGACGTGCTTTATTTCCCCTTGGAGAATTTTGGTTCTCTCCTGCCGGCAGTCTTAAAACGTTGAATTAATTGAGTAAACTAGGATTAGCTCACATGGGTAAATAAATAAGTAAAATGTTAATACCAATTTACAATGCCTTGGTAAGGCCACACTTGGAATACTGCATCCAGTTTTGGTCACTGCGATGTAAAAAAGATGTGGAGACTCTAGAAAGAGTACAGAGAAGAGCAACAAAGATGATCAGGGGACTGAAGGCTAAAACATATAAGGAATGGTTGCTGGAACTGGGCATGTCTAGTTTAATGAAGAGAAGGATGAGGGGGGACATGATAGCAGTCTTCCAGTATCTCAGGGGCTGCCACAAAGAAGAGGGAGTCAAGCTATTCTCCAAAGCGCCTGAAGGCAGGACAAGGTGCAACGGGTGGAAACTGATCAAGGAGAGAAGCAACCTAGAACTAAGGAGAAACTTCCTGACAGTGAGAACAATTAACCAGTGGAACAACCTGCCTCCAGAAGCGGTGAATGCTCCAACACTGGAAGTTTTTAAGAAGAGACTGGACAGCTATTTGTCCCAAATGGTATAGGGTTTCCTGCCTGAGCAGGGGGTTGGACTCGATGACCTCCAAGGTCCCTTCCAACTTTACTACTACTACTACTACTACTACTACTACTACTACTACTACTGCTATTATTATTATTATTATTATTATTATTATTATTATTATTATTATTATTATTATTATTATCATCTTCTCTTTCTTCATCTTCTCTTTCTTCAGGCTGGGGGCATTTAGCCCCATGTCCCTTTTTTGCGGGGGTGGAGCTGTTCTGCCTGAAAAACTAGATTCCATAAGTGGAGGGTGCAGATTGGATGATCCTTTGCAGGTGCACTGAGAGTCCAGGAAAGCAAATTTTGGCAAGCAGCGGCATTTTTTGTTGTTTGTTCCCAATTGTTGAAGCCAAGAATGCTGAAGGAGGAAACTCAGTGGTTTTTGATGGTCATGGTAAAATTCACTATATTCTTGATCACTCATTCGTGATTAAAGTCAGGCTTCATTGGTCATGAGCCTCTGCCTTAACCTTTCATTTTGAATGTTGCATTTAAGAGGCTAATAAAGGGAGGAATCTGGGAATAAGCTGGACCTCCTTTGCGGGTGATTTCATCTCTGAACTTTTTCCAAGGTCTCAATTTTTTTTTTTCATAATGTGACAAAAACTGGATGAAGTTCTTCCAGGTGTGGTCTCACTATAGGGTTTTATAAAGCGGTACTAATACTTCGTGTGATAGGTTCTCCTGCTTGAGCAGGGGGCTGGACTAGAAGACCTCCAAGGTCCCTTCCAGCTCTATTCTATTCTATTCTATTCTATTCTATTCTATTCTATTCTATTCTATTCTATTCTATTCTATTCTATTCTTCTGTTCTGTTCTTTTATTCTATTCTGTTCTGATCTATTCTAATGTTACTCTATTCTGTTCTATTATTCTGTTCTGTTATTCTATTCTATTCTGTTATTCTATTCTATTCTGTTCTATTCTATTCTATTATTACTCTATTCTATTCTATTATTCTATTCTGTTCTATTCTATTCTATTATTACTCTATTCTATTCTATTATTCTATTCTGTTCTATTCTATTCTATTCTGTTATTCTATTCTATTCTGTTCTATTATTCTATTCTGTTCTGTTCTGTTATTCTGTTCTATTCTGTTCTGTTCTGTTCTGTTCTGTTCTGTTCTATTCTATTCTATTATTCTATTCTATTCTGTTCTATTCTATTCTGTTATTCTACTCTGTTCTGTTCTATTCTATTCTATTATTACTCTATTATATTATTCTATTCTATTCTGTTTTATTCTGTTCTGTTATTCAATTCTATTCTGTTCTATTATTATGTTCTGTTCTGTTCCGTTCCGTTCCATTCCATTCTGTTCCATTATTCTATTCTGTTCTGTTCTGTTCTATTATTCTAGTCTAGTCTAGTCTAGTCTAGTCTAAAACAAGACTTCAGGGATTTCATTGCCAAGGACCTGTGGTGTTCTAGATGTTTCCCAGGATGTGTCAGACCTGCTGCCCCAGCTGGGCCCCTAGGAAAGAAAGACCCTCGACTCCATTTGATTAAAGTGATAGGTTCTTTTACTAAGGATTAGTAGTTGCAAACAAAAAGCAAAACTAGGATTAAAGTTCCCGCACAAAAGTTTACAAACTTTTTCCCTTCGTCCTGACCCTCCCCCCTTGACCAGTTCATCTGTGCTGTCTAAGTGTTTTGGGAACTGCTGGGATGTCTGTTGCAATTCGCATTCCATTCCCAAGTTTCACAGCCTCAAAGACTGGGACGGGCTGCTTTCTCAGCCTGTCATTGCCCCCCCCCCCTTGTTTCTCATCTCTACCCCAATACATGCTTAGCGCCTATGAGGAGCCATGGTAGTGCAGTGGTTAGAATGCAGCATTGCAGGCTAATTCTGCCCACTGCCAGCAGTTTGATCCTGACCAGCTCAAGGCTCACTCAGCCTTCCATCCTTCCGAGGTCGGTAAAACGAGGACCCAGATTGTTGGGGGATCAATATGCTGACTCTATAAACCGCTTAGAGGGGGCTGTAAAGCACTGTGAAGCAGGATATAAGCCTAATTTCTATTTCTATTTCTATTTCTAATTCTGCCCACTGCCAGCAGTTCGATTTTCGCCGGCTCCAGGCTAACTCTGCCTTGCATCCTTCTGAAGTCGGTAAAATGGGGTTGGGGGCAATAGGCTGACTCTATAAACCGCTTAGAGAGGGCTGTAAAGCAGTATATAAATCTAAGTGCTATTGCTAGGTGCTACTTCCTCTCCTTCCTCCCTCCCCAGCAAGGCGCCAAGCCAAAGAGAGCAGATCTGACAGGATCTCTCACCATTGGTTTCGGAGTTCCTGGAACTGGAGGGGGCAGAGGGGGGAGGCTCAATTATCTCCCATTGTTCATTGCCTGGAAGATTGCGCAGGACCCGGGAACAAATTTTGCCCCGCCTGCTGTAAACATAATCTTGGCTTTGTCAGTCACTGCAAGCAATCAGGTGTAAACTTTGCCAGGGAAGAACAGCTGTTGCGGGCATCAACCCCCTCGTGAGGAAATTGCCTTTTTTAGCAGGCGGCTGCCACGGCAGCCGGATCCAGGGCCCTTTTCTCACTCATAAACAGGCCGGCTCGGCGTTTGGCAGATTACGTCCATCCTGGTAGCCCAAAATGGGGAAAGATGGCCATCACAGGTCTCCAGCCTCTCTCTTACAGCCCCAGGTGTGTGCCAAACTGCCACTTCTTGCGTTTTGTTTTGTATCTTGGGTTGTTGAAAGCAAAGTGGCCACCTCAAGCTTTGCAGGGCTTAATGAACCCACTTCCCCCTTTTAAAGTCCCTCCGGCCTCCAGATTCTGCTCTCCAAATGACCCAGATTCGAAGTTCTGTGAAAAGCATCTGCCACCCTGCTGTTCCTTGAAAAACAGTGTTATCCTTTACACAAGATCTGTCAGAAATGGTGTAGGGCAGGGGTAGGCAACCTTGGCTCTTTTATGACTTGTGCACTTCAACTCCCAGAATTCCTGAGTCAGCATGGGGGAAACTTTGGCCCCCTCATGACTTGTGGACTTCAACTCCCAGAATTCCTGAGGCAGCGTGGGAGAACTATGGCCCCCTCATGACTTGTGGACTTCAACTCCCAGAATTCCTGAGCCAGCATGGCTCAGCTTGGCAACCTCTCCCTTTCCCCTCAGCATGGCTGGCTCAGGAATTCTGGGAGTTGAAGTCCACAAGTCATAAAAGAGCCAAGGTTGCCTACCCCTGGTGTAGGGTCTCCTGCTTGGACGGGAGGTTAGACTAGATGACCTACAAGGTCCCTTCCAACTCTATTATTCTAACTCCAATTCTTTATTTCCACTGAATGTAGTAATGATTGTGAGAGAAAGATAGAGGGGAAGATTTTTTTTTTCCCCTCCCTGGGGAAAATCCACATTGACTGTCCTCCATTTTGTTTTTCTTCCCTGACTAGGACAGAAGAATTGGAAAATGTGAAGAACTGGCATGGGACCTTCCCCACTGGCGGACCTCTTCCTGGTTCTGTGTTTGGTATTGCTGGGCTGGGCCCAGCGTGCCGTGCCGTCTCCTTGCCAGATTGTCTCCAACACCGTCGCTCCTTGCCGAGGCCAAAACCTGCTCCAAGTCCCTCAGGACCTTCCCAGCACTCTGGAGAAATTGGACCTGTCCTACAATAAGATAGAACAGATTGATTCTGCAGACTTCTCCTCTTTGACCCAGCTGAAAGAGCTGGATCTGGGTTACAACCACATCTTCTCTATTGCCAACGACTCCTTTGCGTCCAATATCCTTCTGGAGAAGCTGAGTCTCTTCAACAACTCCCTGGGAGAGATCCCTTCTCTGGCGTTGACGCCGTTGAAGAAACTCACTGCCTTGTCCATCTCCAACAACCTTTATCCTCTCTCAAGGCTGGATGGGGTGTTCAGCTCCCTGAAGAAGCTTGAAGAGTTGTCCCTGGGCGGCCCTGTTATTTACAAGGTGGGCAGTGAAGACTTTGCTCCTTTGAAGGATCTTCCGTTGAAGAAGTTCTTCCTGAAAACCGCTTCCAGTTTGACCGAGTATCAACAAGGGGCCTTCTCGAAGCTCAACACCACCGAATTTTGGTGCGACATCGCCCTGGATAGAAACCCGGAGGCGTTGCCCCTTATGTTCAGTGACTTGAAGGGGAAGCAGCTCCAGTATCTCCGTTTCCGTAACCTCTTTGAGTTCACCTACTACACCAATTCCATGGACCTGTTTGCCAGCTTGCCTGAGGTCGAAGTGGAAAAGCTGGTCTTCTACAGGGGGAAATTCAATGAGAACCTGCTGCGTTTGGTCCTCTTAAACGTCCAGAAGTCTCGGGTGCGAGACCTCTCCTTCATCGCGATCGATTTCGCCCGCTCTCCCAAGTGGAAGCCTCCTGAAGCTGGCATCGCCAACCTGACCCTTCGCCATTTGTTGTTGAAGGACATCAGCAACCCTGACATTTTGCGCTTTGACTGGACTTTTACTTGGTTTGCCGGAGTTACGTACCTTAGTATCCTCAATGTTAACTTTAATTTTGTGCCCTGCGATGCCTGGGGGGAAATGAGGAACGTGGTGGCCCTGGATGTTTCTAGTAACCGCTTGTTAGATGGCTACATCTACAACGAAGGCTGTCTGTATCAAGGAATCATGCCCAGGCTGGAGCAGTTCAATCTTAGCAACAACGGATTAACCTACCTGGGCATAATTTCCAAGCTGACGTCCAGCTGGCCCCGGCTATCTAAGCTAGATCTGAGCCACAATCAAATCGGGATCTGTAAGGATTTGCCATGTGTTTGGAGCCCCACTCTCATCTGGTTGGATTTGGCTTACAACGTCGTTACAATGGAGATCTTCAAGTGCCTTCCCACCACGTTGCAGTTCCTGGATTTGTCCTACTCTCAGTTGGAACGCCTGGAGATGGGCTACTTTGAGGTTGCGGTTGACCTCCAAGAGCTACGGCTGAGCGGGAACAAGATCAAGTTTATCCCGACGGAATGGAGATGTCCAAATCTCAGGGTTTTGGCGGTGGATGGTAACTCCTTTGGTGTCATCAGCAAAGGTTCCTTCATGAACATGCCTCAGCTCACACAGCTGAAAGCGGGGAACAATCCTTACCATTGTGTCTGTGACCTCTACGGCTTCCTTCAGGAGACCCTGAAGAACGGCAAGTTGGAGATTGTGGATTGGCCCAACGGGTGGACCTGTTATCACCCCGAGCCCCTCCTTGATATGGCTGTGATAGCTTATGCGCCGAGGCTGACCCAGTGTAACGTCATGGTGGTGGTGGCCATTGCTGTCTCCATCACAGCCGTTGTGGTGACCGTCATCATGGTCTTGTGTTGGTGGTTCAATGTCCCCTGGTACCTCAAGGCCACTGTCCAAGTTGTGCGTTCCAAGTATCGGGCCCGCCACTCCCCACCGGTGCGAGGCTTCGCCTACCACGCCTTCATCTCGTACAGCTGCTCCGATGCAGACTGGGTCAGGCGGGAGCTGCTCCAGAGGCTGGAGGCCTCCACCCCGCCGTACCGGATCTGCATTCACGAGCGGGATTTCACACCCGGGCGCTGGATCATTGACAATATCATCGAGAACATTGAAAACAGCCGCAAAATCATTTTTGTTCTCTCGCGCAGCTTTGTCGACAGTGACTGGTGCAATTACGAGCTCTACTTTGCCCACCAGCGGTCAGTGGGGCTGAGCTTCGAGGACGTGGTCCTGGTGGTCAAGGAAGCCATTGACCCCCAAGCTCTGCCTAACAAATTTTGTAGACTGAGGAAGATGCTCAGCAAACGGACTTACTTAGAGTGGCCTCCGGAGCCCAGTCGCCAGGCCTTCTTCTGGGTGCAGTTGATGTCCGTCCTGGGGAAGGCCGAGGCAATCCAGAAGGACCCCAAAGAGGATCCGGGTAACGTCACTTGGGGAACAGACAGCACGGCTGACGATAAGCTCGAAATGGATCATGTGGCTAACGCAGACACTGCGCCAGCGTGTTAAATAGGACTTAGTTTAAGCCTAGAGGAACATTAGAATTTAACAGCGGAGTTCACATCTAGTGATTTTTTAAAATCATGGTTTATTAAGGAAGCTGCAATGGCTGGATTTATAAATAATGTTCAAGCTGTAGACCATGGTTTATGAATTGCTATGATTGAGTTCACGCAGCATGCTAAGCCAACACCAAAATGCTCACAGGATGGGCTTGTTTTTCTATCTCAGACATGTCAAACACAAGGCCTGGGGGCCGGATGCGGCCCGCAAAGTGGTTTCATGTGGCCCGCGAAGCCATCCTGGAAACAGTGAGGGAACAGCCCCCGCTGCCTTGGCCCTGGCACAGGCCGGCCGGGAGCCAATGTACAATTTTGTGGTGGCCATCTATGCCTAAACACATTCCACCTTAGCTCCACAAGGCCGTCTAGAAACAGCAAGGGACCGGCCCCTCCCGCGTCAGCCCCGCCCCCTGGGTGCATGCTGGGGAATGAAGGAATGAAGAAATGGACCATCGCCTGGAAGTGGCCAGCAAATGGCCCTCGCCTACTTCACATATCCGGCTTGATGGGCTCTGCCCTGGTCCCACCCCTTTTTGCCAGAGACCCTCAGATCTGTCCCACTCCTGCCCAGGCCCCCACAGGCACCTTTGACGCCCACCCAGTAGCCTGCACCCACCCTGGCCACACACACCCGCCCCCCCAAGGGCAACCGCAATGCTGATGCGGCCCTGAATGAAATTGAGTTTGACACTCCTGTTCTATCTGAATATTTCCTAAGACAGCTGATTGGTATAATATAGTTTATGATTCAATACGTTCTACACAATCCCCAAATGTATTTAATTTAGACCCAGGTTAAGCATGTTACGTAGAACCAGCATGTCAATATCGTTCTGTACAGGGGGGAATTCCATTCAACTTACTCTTTTTTGGTTTTCCGTTCCCACGTCCTCAGGGTTAACCGAATTACAGAATAACAGAATTGGAAGGGACCTTGGAGGCCATCTAGTCCACATTAAGGAGGGGGGGCACACTACAAACCTTGCCAATGTTGCACATTTGTTTCTCAGAATATAGTACTGAGAAACTATGAATCGTGGTTTACAGACTGCAGGGATGGTTCTACTTTACATGGCAAAGCTGTGGTACTGGGACAGCCGCTGGGTTGACTCGGCCATTCCGGTATTCCTCAGAACCGTGTTTCAATGGGGAAGCCAGATTCAATTAACAACCATGTTACTAATTTAACAGCTGCAGGGTTTCACTTAATAACTGTGGCAAAAAAAGTCATAAAATGGAGCAAAGCTCACTTAATAATTTCTCACTTGGCAACATAAATTTTGGGCTCAATTGTGGTTGTAAGCAGAGGACTACCTGTATAAATAGTCGCTCTAGACAGGAACGTGTGACGCTGTTCCAGGGTCACAGTCATTTTTTTGGCTGTTCCGAGGGTTGATGCTGATCGCCGATGCCCTAAGGACAATCTAGGGCTTTTGATTGATGGGTGGGAGCTGTCATTGTTAGCTAAATAGCAAATTTTGCACGGCAGTATTATTGCTGTCCTTTGTCTGCTTTTATAATTAAAGTTTTTTAAATTGTCATTTTGTATCTTACATTTTCTCTGAAATGTTCAGCATTTTGCAATGGTTTTAATTTAAGAGCTGTGGTGGCGCAGTGGTTAGAATTCAGCATTGTAGGCTAATTCTGCCCACTGACAGGAGTTTGATCCTGACCGGCTCAAGGTTGACTCAGCTTTCCATCCTTCCAAGGTGCGTAAAATGAGGACCCAGATGTGGGGAGCACAATATGCTAACTGTAAACCACTTAGAGAGGGCTGTAAACCACCATGAAGTGGTATATAAGTCTAAGTGCTATTGCTATTGCTAATTACTGCGACATGCCCGTGGCAGGACCCCATTGACCTTGGCAGCAATCAAACAATTGAAGTGGGAAAAACTCCTTCCGTTCTGGATAGGACCCCTGGAAATCTCAGGGCTGCGAGCTAGGCCAGGAAGTGGGAAAAAGTCCTCAAAGAAGATTGACAGCTCTGCTGTCTCGCTGACAAATCAACAGGAAAGGATGTACTCCTGAGCAGGGTTAGGCAAGAAAAACCAAATGCACAGGTATAGTATAGGTGGCACCTTGCTCAATAGTAGTAACTGTGAGAGGGACCTCGGAGTCCTAGTGGACAATCACTTAAATATGAGCCAGCCGTGTGCTGCAGCAGCCAAAAAAGCCAACACAGTGCTAGGCTGCATTAACAGAGGGATAGAATCAAGATCACATGAAGTATTAATACCACTCTACAATGCCTTGGTAAGGCCACACTTGGAATACTGCATCTAGTTTTGGTCACCATGATGTAAAAAAGATGTTGAGACTCTAGAAAGAGTGCAGAGAAGAGCAGCAAAGATGATTAGGGGACTGGAGGCTAAAACCTATAAGGAAAGGTTGATGGAATTGGGTATATCTAGTTTAATGAAGAGAAGGACGAGGGGGGACATGATAGCAGTGTTCCAGTATCTCAGGGGCTGCCCCAAAGAAGAGGGAGTCAAGCTATTCTCCAAAGCGCCTGAAGGCAGGACAAGAAGCAACGGATGGAAACTAATCAAGGAGAGAAGCAACCTGGAACTAAGGAGAAACTTCCTGACTGTTAGAACAATTAACCAGTGGAACAACCTGCCTCCAGAAGCGGTGACTGCTCCAACACTGGAGGTTTTTAAGAAGAGACTGGACAGCCATTTATCCAAAATGATGTAGGGTTTCCTGCCTGAGCAGGGGGTTGGACTCGATGACTTCCAAGGTCCCTTCCAACTTTTATTATTATTATTATGTATTAATCTAATTTAACAAAGAGAAGGACGAGGGGGGACATGATAGCAGTGTTCCAATATCTCAGGGGCTGCCCCAAAGAAGAGGGAGTCAAGCTATTCTCCAAAGCGCCTGAAGGCAGGACGAGAAGCAACGGATGGAAACTAATCAAGGAGAGAAGCAACCTAGAACTAAGGAGAAACTTCCTGACAGTTAGAACAATTAACCAGTGGAACAACCTGCCTCCAGAAGCGGTGACTGCTCCAACACTGGAAGTTTTAAAGAAGAAACTGGACAGCCATTTGTCCGAAATGGTATAGGGTTTCCTGCCTAAGCAGGGGGTTGGACTAGATGACCTCCAAGGTCCCTTCCAACTTTATCATTATTATTATTATTATTATTATTATAATCTCTATTTGGCAAGATGATATGATGTGAAAGGGTATAAAATATAAATGTGCGATGCCACTAAATGTCCAGCAGAGGGCAATGGTGGATAGAATATTGGGATTGATTCAGGTTATAGGAATAATCCCAGCTATTTCCAAATGTCAAATGAGGAAAAGGATTTGTTTTGTTTTCTAAAATTGCTTTTTTTTTTATTTTTTTTTTCCTTTTTTCTTTTGTTTCATTTATGTATTGATTTTGGGGCATTCTCTCTCACCATTTCTAGCCGCTCTGAATAGTGTGGACACATAAGAAGGAAAGGATAATAATAAAAAAAATTATACAGCTGCCTCTGAAATGCAGGCACAGTACAGGCAGTCCTCGATTTACAACAGTTCATTTAGTGACTGTTCAAAGTTACAGCGGCACTGAAAAAAGGATTGTTTTTAAGACATACGACCGTCACAGCATCCTCAGGGTCACGTGATCAAAATTCAGACGCTCGGCAACTGACTCGTATTTATGACGGTCGCCGTGTCCCGGAGTCACGTGATCCCCTTTTGTGACCTTCTGACAAGCAAAGTCAATGGGGGAAGTCAGATTCACTTAACAACCGTGTGACTAACTTAACAAGTGCAGTTGTTCGCTTAACAACTGTGGCAAGAAAGGTCGTAAAATGGGGCAAAATTCGCTTAACTGTCTCTCAGACAGTTTGGGCTCAATAGCAGTTGTAAGTCGAGGACTGTCTCTACGATATATATGTACTGGGGCTGGGCAGCTAATAAATTCAAATAAGGTGCCTCTATCAGAAAGCTTAAATCACAGACCTGCAGTTTTCTTCCAAAATACAACCTGGAGAGAATTATCAGCCTGGAACAGGGGTAGGGAACCTTGGCTCTTTTATGACTCATGGACTTCAACTCCCAGAATTCCTGGCCTGGAATAAGAAGCGGTGTGGGAACCCAAAGGGGTCTTTATGTCTGAGACCCTCTTAAGAGACTTCTTAAGAAAATTCTAGATTGGGAAGCAAACTACCTGTCCAGTGGCTGGTGTCTCTGGAGGTAGGAAATAATTTTCCAGATTTGTCCAGTTGCATATAAAAACCCTCTAAATTAAAAGGACATCCTTTTAATTTAATTTAATCCAAGATCACCGCAGATGGGGACTGCAGCCAAGAAATTAAAAGACGCTTGCTCCTGGGGAGGAAAGCTATGGCAAATCTAGACAGCATACTCAAAAGCAGAGACACCACCCTGCCAACAAAAGTGTGTATAGTCAAGGCCATGGTTTTCCCAGTNGAAGGCCAGATCCTGAAGTTGAAACTCAAGTCCTTTGGCCACCTAATGAGAAGGAAGGACTCCCTGGAGAAGAGCCTGATGCTGGGAAAGATGGAGGGCAAGAGAAGAAGGGGACGACAGAGAAGGAGGGGGCTGGACGGAGTCCCTGAAGCAGCAGGCGTGAGCTTCAATGGACTCTAGAAGATGGTAGAGGACAGGAAGGCCTGGAGGAACGTTGTCCATGGGGTCGCGAGGGGTCGGACACGACTTCGCAACTAACAACAACAACAACAATAAAATCTGGTGGCAAGGAGTTCCACGGTTTAATTATGCATTTCTTTTCTTTTACTCTACTCTATGTATCACAGTACAGGGAGTCCTCAACGTAAAGCAGTGCATTTAATGACTGTTGAAAGTTACAACGGTACTGAAAAGAGTGACTTACAACCATTTTTCATACTTACAGCTGTTGCAGCATCCCCATGGCTACAGGATCAACATTTTATGGCCCTTGCCGTGTCCCGGGGGGGCTCACGTGATCCCCATCAGTGGGGAAGCCAGCTTCACTTAACAACCATGATACTAACTT